TGTGTCGGGCGGGAACTTGGGTGTTTGTCGGGCGGGAACTTGGTGTGTTCGGGCGGGACTTGGGTGTGTCGGTCGGGAACTTGGGTGTGTCGGTCGGGAAGTTGGGTGTGTCGGGCGGGAACTTGGGTGTGTGGGCGGGACTTGGTGTGTCGGGCGGGAAACTTGGGTGTTCGGTCGGGAACTTGGTGTGTCGGGCGGGAACTTGCGGGTGTCGGGCGGGAACTTGGGTGTGTCGGGCGGAAGTTGGGTGTGTCGGGCGGGAACTTGGGTTGGTGTCGTCGGGAACTTGGGTGTGTCGGTCGGGAACTTGGGTGTGTCGGTCGGAACTTGGTGTTCGGGAACTTGGGGTGTGTCGGGCGGGAACTTGGGGTGTGTCGGTCGGAACTTGGGTTGTCGGTCGGGAACTTGGGTGTGTTTGGGTGTGTCGGGCGGAACTTGGGTGTTTCGTCGGTCGTTGGGTGTCGGCGGGAACTTGGGTTGTGTCGGTGCGGAACTTGGGTGTGTCGGTCGGGAACTTGGGTGTGTCGGGCGGGAACTTGGGTTGGTCGGGCGGGAACTTGGGTGTGTCGTCGGGCGGGAACTTGGGTGTGTCGGTCGGGAACTTGGGTGTGTCGGTCGGGAACTTGGGTGTGTCGGGCGGGAACTTGGGTGTGTCGGGCGGGAACTTGGGTGTGTCGGGCGGGAACTTGGGTGTGTCGGGCGGGAACTTGGTGTGTGTCGGTCGGGAATTGGGTGTGTCGGTCGGGAACTTTGGGTGTGTCGTCGGGAACTTTGGATGTGTCGGGCGGGACTTCGGGTGGTTCGGGGGGAACTTGGGTGTCGGTCGGGCGTTTTTAGGGGGTGGGTGGTCGGTCGGGAATTGGGTGTGTCGGTCGGGAATGGTTGTCAGGCGGGAACTTGGGTGTGTATGGTCGGGACTTGGGTGTGGTCGGTCCGGGAAACTTGGTTGTGTCGGGCGGGAACTTGGTGTGTCGGTCGGGAACTTGGGTGTGTTTGGGTGTTCGGTCGGGAAGTTGTGTGTCGGCGGGAACTTGGGTGTGTCGGGCGGGAACTTGGGTGTGTCGGNAAGAAAGGAAAAAGAGAGAGAGAGAGAGAGAGGAGAGAGAGAGAGGAGACCGAGGAGAGGAGAGAGAGAGAGAGAGAGAGAGAGAGAGACAAGAGGAGACGATGAGGACGAGAAGAAGAAGAGAGAGAGAGAAGACGGGAGGAGGGGACGAGAGAGAGAAAGTCTAAGAGCGAAGGGGAGAGGGGAAGATGAGAGAGAGAGAGAGAGGAGGAGAGAAGAGGGGAAGACTGAGTGCGGACTGGCGGAGAGAGCAGAGGAGCAGGTGTACCATCTCCTACCGAAGTTGGTGGCAAGATGAGAGCGAGGGAGTCTGGAGGAAGCATTCAGCGAGAGAGTGAAATGGACACTTACTCATCACGCGTGCGTCATCGCGAGATCTCGGGAGCTAATTCTCAGCTCTTGAGATGACTCTCCGCCTAATGGGGAGAGTGACGCGAGGTCGGTATAGAGATGACCTGAGAGACTCAGACACAGAATTAGTCAACAGAGACGATACGATTGACGAGATGAGAGAGGATGAGAAGACAGGCAGACAGACAGGAACAGGACAGACAGACAGAAAGATAAGCGAAATAAATGAAAAAGGAAGAAAGAGAAAGAGGAGCCGAGAGAGGAGAGTAGAGAGAGAGATTGACGAGAGGAGCAGAGAGTAGAGATTCGAGAAGAGAGGAGAGAGAGAGAGAGAGAGAGAGAGAGAGAGAGAAGAGCAGATGAGAGAGAGAGAGAGAGAGAGAGAGAGAGAGAGAGAGAGAGAGAGAGAGAATCCTCCTTTGATCACCTCGCTGTCCATGCCGTGTTTCCCTCGCCGTCTCAAGCGCTGTTGTTGCGGATTCGAGAAGGCAGTGACCGTGATTTGTATCTGGCGCGCAAATACTCTTGCTTTACGTTATTTTGTGTGTTTGTTTTAGTGTGGTTTGTTCTTCTGTTACGTCATTAGTTTTTTTGCGTATTTTCTGTCTTTTGTTGTTGTTGTTCTGTGAGGTTTGTTGTTTGTGTCAATATCTATCTTTCTATATCTATATCTCTGTCTTGGTCTGTCTGTCTATCTATCTATCTATCTATTCATACATGTGCCTCTGCCTTTGTCTGTCTGCCTGCTTGTATTTCTGTCTGACTGTCTATCTGCCTCTCTGTCTGTCTGTCTGTCTGTCTGTCTCTCTCTCTCTCTCTCTCTCTCTCTCTCTCTCTCTCTCTCTCTCTCTCTCTCTCTCTCTCTCTCTCTCTCTCTCTCTCTCTCTCTCTCTCTCTCTCTCTCTCTCTCTCTCTCTCTCTCTCTCTCTCTCTCTTTTCCTCACCCCAATGTCTTCCTCCCCTCTTTCCTCCTCTCTAGCTCCCTTCTTTTCTAATTCCGTCTTTCAACCTCTTTCCATCTCCCGAAATCATCTTTCTATCCCTCCCACTCCTTTAGTTAAATCTCCCCCATCTCCTCTTCTT